GGGTGGGGTATGGATGAGGATGGGGATGAAGATGAGGATGGTGGTGGGATGAGGATGAGGATGGAAATGGGGATGAGGATGAGGGTGGGGATGGAGATGAGGGTGAGGAGGGTTCCCCATCCCCATCCCACCCTATCTTCATGCCCTTCCCTATCCCCATCCTCATCCCCATCTCTATCTTCATTTCCATCCCCATCCCATCTCCATCCTCATTCCCAACTCCAACTTCAGCTCCATCTGCACTCCCATCTCTATCCCTACCTCCATTCCTATCACCACTTCCGTTCCCTTCCCCATATCCCCACCCCTATTCCCCCCACCCTCAACCACAACCCCTATCCCCATTCTCATCTGCATCTGTCCCCACAGTCATCCCCACTTCCATCCCTCTCTCCTTCCTCAATCCCCATCCCCTACTCCATCCTCATTTCTGTCCCCATCCCATCCCCAACTTCAGCTCCATCTGCACTCCCATCTCTATCCCTACCTCCATTCCTATCACCATTTCCGTTCCCTTCCTCATACTTCTCTCCACCCTGCTCTATCCCCACGACCAATTCCATCCTCATTTCTGTCTCCGACCCATCCCCATTCTCAATGCCATTCCCATCCCCATTACAGTCCCCGACCGAGGCCAGAAGCAGGGAGCCTTCCACGTGCCCTGTACCCAGGATAGATCTCATGCCCTGGGAACAGAGTCCAACCAAAGGCAGAAGACCAGCTGCAGACACAGACATCGAGGGCATGTGCTTTCCTGGATGAGAGCAATCCCACGTACAGAGTCAGGTTCCAGGATGAGCAGCGTGAGGGGAGGCCGCCTGCATGTGTTCGGCTGCATTTGGAGGTGATCCTAGTGGCATATGATGGCAAAGAACCCGCAGAGACCCCTGGGGTGCCAATGCCCCTCCCACTTTTCTGCTACCACCAGTGGACAATGGCATTCAACGTCCCCACCATCAGTGCCTTGTACCTGTGGCCTTTGGGAGTGTGTCTTCAGAGATGGCTGTGCTAAGTGCCATGCTCTCTGGGTGTGGGGGGGCGGGAAGTAAATACACCCACCACACCCCTAAGCACACTCGTCAGCACCATTCATCTGAAATGACCCTTGAGGCAAAGAGACACCAAGCAGGCGTATTTTGCTTGGGGAAGAATAAATAGTAAGAACCTAGACATGGGCAGAGCTTGATAATTTACAAACCACTTCCAGCAACATCACTCCACGTACGTGACACCAGACCTGGGTGGTAGGAGGGGCCACACCTGTCCTATAGTCCAGTGTCACGGTCAAAGCAAGGCCCCCTGCCATAAAACTCCCCTGAGTCCACTGAACCCCCAAAGCCAGTGGACTTTCCAGTTTGCTTTCGACTTTTCCTTAAGTGGTGAGAGTTGCTGCTAGAAGTCCCCATGGCTCATTTTGTCTAGCATCAGAAAAGGCAAAGTGGCTTCCCGGGTGACACAGCTGCATGTCACAGCCAGCCCCTATCACTCCTGTCCCATGGCCACCCGGGGAGGCAGGAGCTGAAGTTATTTTAGACTCAACAGTTAACATCGACACAGGGAGGTAATGGGTGGGTGATCGGCTTTATGAAATTAACTCTGAAATATGGCCTGTCTTTATCTCGAAAGCAGAACTTTATTTCGGTCACCGTAACTCACTTTGGAGATAATGTGGCGGCTCTTCTCTGCTCTGTAAATCATCTCGTGGCCTTTGCAATCGGAGAACACAAACCTGGTCCGATATAAACCCCAGAATCGTTGGACGGGAAATCTGCCCCACCCTGTGTGTTTAACTGCATGCCCACTAGAATGTACTAGAGGGTGCACTTCTCCTCCCCGCCAAACCCCCACGCCTCGCTTCCCCACGGCACGGGGCTCGATGGAGTCCACATCAAGGTTCCAGGCCCAGGCCTCTTGCTACCAACGTCGCAATGGAAATTTGGGCAAAAGCAGTCTGGGGCATCGGTCTTCCCTCTGTAAATGGTTCAGCGAGACATCCTTGCCAAACCTTTCAAGCTTCCAGGCCTTTTGAGAATAGAAGCCGAGGGACAATGAAAAACCTTGCCTAAGGACAGCAAGGTTGCTGGAGCACACAGGAAGGGGTATTTATAACACCTTCCAGCTGGCCCACACTCTCTTGCTTGAGGAGGGACACCCGGGCGAATCCCTCCCCTCCCAGGAGGGCCGCTGTCTGGAGGAAGGGATAGTCTCCTCCCGTGTCTTGAGTACCACTCTGCGAGGTGCCTGGCGCTCTCCTGCTCCCAGCGCCGTTTGCCAGCGGGGTGGTGATCATAGGTTCTGGGGGGAGGCAGGGGAGGGGAAACGACAAGTTTCAAAAATTATGTTATTTGCAAGAAATCCATTCTTTCCTCGCTGCATGCCTGCTCTAATTGACTTGGCTTTCCTTTTCAATCAGCTCCTAGTCATTACACCATATTCACCACAAAAGAGAAAAACCCCTCCTTAATATAAAGAAGTGTCCATGGAATATAAATGATTCCGCCATGGGTCTTTTATTTTTTATTTCTTCTTCTTTCTTCCGTCTTTGTTCCTTTTGGTCTCACACACCGTCCAATGTCTTTCCCATACCATCTCCACCCCGTCTCTTCCTCCTCTCCCTTCTGGCTCTTTTCCCAAAGATGCTGTCAAAAGAGCACTCTCCAGGAAGCCTTCCTCTGCCCCCAGCAATGCCGAGCCAGCACACGCTCCTTCCTCATCTTGCCTCCCCTCCTCTGGCCCTGCAACATCCTGGACCCGTTGGCGGTTAACTCCGCCTCCTCCTTTAGGGGCTGGCTTTCAGATGTCGCCTCCTCCAGGCCAGACCTCCTGGGCTTTTGCCAGAGCGTGGGTTAGAGCTAGCCTCTTTGGGTGCCTGGAGCACGCTTGTGCTCCTCATACTCTCCACCCTGCGTGTTATTCCGTCCTGGGTTTCAGCATTCATGTTCCACTAGACTGAGTTGTCCCTGGGGCACTGGAAGCTTCCAGAGCTTAGTGCAGGCCAGCCACGCAGTAGGGGTTTTCCAACTGCCAATTTTCCTGTTTGGTTTCTTCAGAAGGGACACCACAAGACCCTGCAGTGGCGGTTGGGCCCTGCTCCATCTCCACCCTTATCTCGACCAAGTACCTGCCCCTGCATTCCCATGCTCCCAAACACAACTGAGAATTTTTTTTTTTTTTTTTTTTTTTTTTCTGGTCCGTGTGAACACCCTCAGCTATTTCCAACCCCAGGGCCTTTGCACCTGCTGCTGTTCCCGCCTGGCCGGGTCCTGCTCAGCATTCAAACCTCAGCTCGAGGGCGCCTTCCAGGGTAAGCCAGGTTACCCTTTTATGTCCTGCCGTGGCACTTAATTTTCTTCCTGGAGTACCTCTCTGTGGATAACGATCTCACAGACTGGTTCAAACACTTGTCTTTCTCTCTGACACCCCACAACAGAACGCAAGCTCCAGGAGGGCCAGCAGCGTTTCTCTGTCGTTGTCCACATTCCCAAGGGCCTGGCCAGCGCAAGGATTGGCCGATTAAAATATTTGCCAGGGGCATGAGCCCCGCCAATCCCTGCCCACGTCCGGGGGGCCTGAACTCCCCAGCCCCACCGAGCCCTTCCCAGCAGTAGGGCCTGAGAAGACAGATCCACCAGCCGGGAGGGGGTGACCGGCAAAGAAAAGAGAAGAGGGGGAAACAAGCAGCAACCTGCCGTGGTTTATGGGAAAATTAAATTATTGAGCTTGAGTAGTAACAGCAGCCGAGGGAAAAAAAAAAAAAAAAAAAAAAAAACGACAGCCCCAAACGGAGCCGCCAACGTTGGACAGGAGAAAGACCAAACGCAGCGTCTGTGCTCCACAGGGCTTTGTATGCAGCAGGCCCTGTTATGTGGCAGCTGCCTGAGCCCGCAGCCCGCTGCCACCCCCAGAACTTGAAGGTGGACGTGTGAGAGCCCCCGAGCGGATGCCACGCCGAGGGCCTTGGGGGCCCTGGGTCCGGGTCACCGCCGGATCCCCCCCTGCTCTGGAAAAGGGCCTATGGCTGCGGGTGTCAACAGCCCCCTCCCGCCTTCGCTCCATCTGCAGGGAAGCTGGCTGCAAGCTCCAAGCTCACTGCTCGCCCTCCCCCTGCCCAGCTGTTTGTGGTTCGCGAGTTGGTAAAAAGAAGATAAAATTAACAACCCCGCGTGCAAGGCTCTGGCCTGACGTGCTCTGGAGCAGGGGTTGCCGGGCTGGGGGGGCAGCTTGCCAAGGCGGCGAATCGGCGGAGCCCTGGGCGGAGCAGGAATCCGGCCTCAGGTTCATGCCAACAGAGAAGGAACCGAACGCAACACTTTGGAGGGGGAGCAGGGAAGGCCCTGGGCCGCAGGTTTTTGCGTGTTCGGGGTCTTGCATTTGTTATCCTAGCCGTTTTCTACACAGGGCCCTTTAAACCTGGTTGGTTCTCAAAGTGTGTTCAGCTTTTCAAGTGTCACCCGGGAGCTAATTAATTTCATAGGAGTTGCAGACCCCTTGAGTCCCATCCAAGGCTGCACCAACTGTGGGGTCGGGCAGAGGGGCGGGTTGGGGGGAGCCGCCAGTCTGGCCTTCAACAAAGCCCTCATTGGTGAATTCTCATGCGCAAAGTTCAACGTGTGGGTGAACCACTGCCTTTCCACTACGTGAGCTTCGGCTGGTCCTCCTCTAAAATGAGGGACTGGTAAAGAACCCTCGGTGGTGTGTGAACTCGGTCCATAGTAGTTGCTCATTGTAAAAACGGTAGTGAAAAGCTGGTACTCAACGGAAGGAAAGGCTCGGGGGAACTGGAGACCCTTCAAAGGGGCCCCACCCCAGGCCTCAGCAAACGGAGCATCAAGAAGTTCTGGAACTTCCCCTTGCTCTCTGCACTGATTAGGTCAAAGGGCCTCGCATGTCCCCGAAGCCCCGGCCCTCACAGCTGTGCCTCTTTCTACTCATGCCTCGGACTGGCTGCTGCCGGCGTTCCCCGTGTCCGCGATTCGCCTCCCTTACGCCTGCAGTGGCCACGTGGACGCCCTTCCTGCCCTGGGGTTTGCTGGCTTGGAGGCCGCCTGCCCGGTGGCCCGCGGGTGGCCGCTGCGTGTGACCACCCTTCCAGCCACCCGCAGTTTATGTGGCAATAGAGCGTACGTGTGGTTAAGTCCCAGGACAGGTGCACAAGCCGCAACGGGTTGAAATCCGTGGGGTTGGTAACGCGAATCCGTTTTTAATGGCAGCACGGCTGGGCCAATTTCGGGGGATGTTCTTCAAACATACTTCCGCAGAGGTTAATGTATCCACACGCGGGGGCCAACTCCGCCAGGTACCGTTCCCAGCTGTATGGAAGAAGCCTCCGGAAGCCACGAAGCTTGCGGGAGTGCCGGCGGGGAGCAACGTTTCAAGAGCGGGCGGCGGCCGTGGCAGCCCAGCTTCCCCTGCAAGCTTGCGCACTGCCCTCCCCCCGCCAAGGCGGGCCGTGGCAGACCCTGTCCATCCCCCCGAGCGGGGACCCTCTGTCCCCTCCCAGCAGAGCTGCGGCCTCTAAAGCACGGGGCCTCCGGCGCTCTGGGGCTTAGAACTGCCCTTCCCGCCCGGGCCTGGGAACCTGGCCCGAGGCACCAGCCCCTTCCGCTGAGAGCGGTGCAATCCTCCCCAGGCATGTGTCCCTGCCGTGGGGCTTTGGGGCCGAGGGGTGAGGACGGTGCTGTTTCTCAGGTTGGTGGTGTTAGGGAGCACCACAGTCCAGTCTAGCTGTTACAGCCTTTTTCAGTTACCGCCGTGTCCCTCGCTTCCCCAAGCCTGGGCCTCAGTTTTCCCTCATTTAAACAGTGGAGGGGCGGGGCAACGTCCTAGGGTTCCGCTCATTCCACCACGTTCGGCGGCGGTTGGAGCGAGGCACCGGCTTCCAGCGTCAGTCCTGCCCCCTGGGCCAACCCACCTTCCTGCGTCCCAGCGCAGCCGCTCCTGCCAACCTCAAACCGCAGACCCAGCCCCCCGCTTGCACCCCACACCCCGCCCGCAGCCTCCTTCCAGGGGCGATTTCCCAGGGGACGCTGCGGCCACAGCCTTTTCCTGTCCTATCAGCATTTTGGGAATTGAATTTCCCTGAGTCTTGAGAAAGCAGTAAATTCATTCTTGCCGCTTGCTCCTTAATAATTTGCAGGGGCGGGAGGGTGGGGAGGAGCTGCAGGGGGCAAGCCACCTGTGTGGGAGAGCAGAGCTTGTGCATTTTTTAAAGTCTTGGCAAAGCCACTATGAACAATTTCCAAATCTACAAAATATCAAAATAACTTGGTGCAGGGAACACTCACGACACCCGTCGCCCGGTTCTTACGATGAACACTGAAACTCCCGTCCTGCCTTACTGGACATCCTCCTGGGGTGTGTCTTTTGAAAGAGCCGGGGTTGAGGAGGGGCAAGCCTCATTTAAGGGAGCCCCACTGCCAGCGGGGCAAGAGGGGCTTGACTTAGGGAGGGGGATCTCACAAGCCCCTGCTCCTGCGGCTCTCCTGGCCTTGCGTGGCCCCCATGGCTGTGGCCTTAAAGCCACCTAATGTCATTCTCTGGCCTGGAATGCACTATTGCTCCCGGGAAGCTGCCCCTCCCCCGCCCTCCCTTTTGTCCCCAGTCCCCAAAGGCTTGCTTGCGGGGAGCTTCCCCGGACCATGTGGCTTCCCGTGGCATCTGTGGGCACAAGCTCCCCTGCCCAGTGGCTTGGCCGTCACTTGGATTTGGAGCCTGCACCGGCCTTCCTCCTTCCCGTCTCTTTGCCAGGACGGTGGCGGGCAGGGCTGCACCAAAGCCTGGCACGAGAGAAAGACCTTCCCAGAGGCCCCGTTCCTCACTCCCCCCGGGGGGGGACTTGGGCACAGCACCGGGACCTTACGGGCTGCCCCACGTTCGTACCTGGCTCTTGCAAAACTACTACGGGGGTGACTTTGCAAGTCACTCTTCCTCACTGTGTCAAAATGTGTGCCTCATCTGTAACAAATGGAAAATCATCACAGTATTAAATATCTACTTAAACAGGGCTCTTGAAGGGCATTATGCCCCAGTAGTCCAGGGTTTCTGCCTGGCCAACCTGCCAGCCAAGCGCTGATACATGTCGCTGTCGTGATTGCACCCGCTGCATACAGAGGTCGCCTCCGGCTGCAGCACCTCCTGTTCCTACCTCCCCAGCCTGCCAGGCCCAGCTCCCACGCTGCCTCCCCATGAAGCCTCCGTATGCCTCCCTCCTGGAAGCAGACTCGACTCCTGGGAAACTCCAACATCGTTCCGCTCGTACCTAGTCTTCCCCCACACTTGTCCCGAATTCCCCCTCTGCTGGAAATTCCGGAAACCTGTGTCCTTCTTCCGTCTCCCCTATCATCCACGGGCTCCCTTGGGGCACAGACCCTGGGCTTGTGGTCCCTCCCTCTTAAATGTCCCCCAGACAGAGCGGTTCAGGCCCCTGGGCCTCCACAGAGAGGAGCTGGGAAGTCCCCCACGTGGTCACTCCACTTAGCCACTCTCCTCTGAGCCTTGTTTCCCTCTTGTAAAATGGGCCCGTAACAAGAATCACTGTTGGAATACCTTCGCCAGGTGTCACGAGAACAAAAGAATGCTCACGAAGAACCTTGGTGGCAATGCCGGGCACACAGAAGGCACTCATCGGCGCTAGCTTTTAATTGCTCCTAGGGAGTGAGTTGACATGATACCACCCTCCTCATGTGTTGGACGGGGAAACTTGAGTCCAGGGGTCCAAGGGCAGGTTGGCAAGCAGGGCGAGGGCTCTGAGTCCCAGGAACCGAGCCAACATTTTGCAGTGTGATCTTGGCCCTCAAGTTTTCCCCCTTCTGTAAACTGAGGCAGTGGGATTACT